ATAAGTAAGCAAGCGGAAATGGGGAAGATAGACACCACACAGAGGTACAGACACTCAAGGGACAAGAACTTTTTCCCAGAACCAAAAAGGAGACAAAGCTTCTCCCTAAAGCCAGAAACACATATTCAAATATTTAGCCACTTAAACTTTGAAAAAATAAATATCCATTTGTTAAAACCCTCCATTTGTTGTATTTCTATTACAACACCACTAGATAACTAGGATTAGTACAGGAAATGACAAGGTTTTTATCTGTTGTTCAAAGGATCATCATGAGTCATAGTTGACTTGATGGCACTTAACTACAATGACAGATAAATAAGACACCATTGCTCATTAGTGTGTTGATCTGTTCATCAATGTCAATCAGTACATTTGCTTCCAAAAATCCCTCTATGGAAGGGGGAGCCCTGGTGGCCCTCCAGCAAGATTTCAGAGAGCACACAACTATTGGAGGGAGAAAATGTCAGCAGATATTAGAGGATGGATGGATAGGGTGAAGGGAAAGACAAAGGAATAATGAAGATATGCTGTGATGTTGTAATAAATGACACTGATCAATTGTAATTAATGTAAATAATGTTATAAGACAAAATCCAAAATGTATGAGTGACTGCACAAAAACCAATTTTAAAAAATGAAAGCTCTTTACTGGGAATATGGAGCTCTGGTGGTATAGCCCATAGGGAGTTGCACTGCTAACTCAAAAGTGGCACCTTTCTGGCAGTTCAAAACCACCAGCCACTCTGCAAGAGAAAAAAAAACAATCTTCTTTCATGCAATTTATAGCCTCTGAAAACCATTGGAGGATCCGCTATGAGTCAGTTCCTACTTGACAGCAATGAGGTTTTTTAGTTCTACTGGGATTAGAGAATCCCTGTTGGTACAGTAGGTATGTGCTCAGCTTCTCACTGAATTTTGTTATTTGAACCCAGCAATCACTCTGGGAGAAAGAAAGTGGCATCCTGCTTCATGGAAACTCTATGAGGGAAATTCTACTCTATACTATAATTTTGCTTGGAGAAAGGACTTGATAGCTATAAGCATTTTTTTTACTGAGAATATAACTAAAGTTCCTTCCATAATTTTAGTATTCTGGAGTTTTGTTTTGTTTTTATAATCTTCATGTTGGAATCTCCCTAGCACAAGAAGGAGCATTGCTCAGTGATCCAGTAGGGGAACAACTCGAAAACCAAAATCCACTGCTGTTGAATCGATTCTGACTAGTTCTCACCCTCCATTGTGCTTCCTAGGCTGTAAATCTTTTTGGGAGGAGTCCGTCCAACTTTCTCTCAAGCAGAAACCAGTTGACCTTTTGAACCATTGACCTTTCAGTTAGAAGTGCAGCAAGTAACTTACTATGTCACCACTCTTTTCTGGGTTTTATATTTTGGAGGAATCTCACAGATGACTCTATTTTCCCTGCTATCACTTGATAACAATAATTTATTCTCTGACACAACTAAATAAATAGAAATTTGTGTGGAAATCATCACATATGACTTCCCATGTCAAGTGAAAACATGTTAATAATAATAGCATTTGCAATTTTTAAGTTATTTATCTTAGAGGGTTGGAAGCAGGAGTGGCATCCACTTCTGTAAATAGCTTGTATCGGGGGAAACCCTACAATCATGGAGAAAGGACGAGTCACACAACTGTCGAGGACTTTTGTTCATAGGGTTGCTATGAGTCGCCTTTAACTCCATGGTACTTAACAACAGCAACAATCTTAGAGGGCACAGTGTAACCCTAAAAAATGTACTACTAATGTTAAATCTTGTTTTACTTTTTATGGTCAAGGACAAAAGGCAAAGGCATTTAAGTATGCTATTTAAGGTTTCAAAAAGAATCCAGATAGTGTTGTACGTTATGTGTTGTGCTGGTTACCAATAGTGGGCAGTTTGAAACCACCAGCTGCTCTGAGGGAAATAGAAAGGCAGTGCCTCTCATAAAGGTTTACAGCCTTGGTCTCTTGTGAAAGGCCAACATGAGCTGGGATCAACTCATTGGTTGTGGCTTGGGTGCATTATTTAAATATTTAAGAAGAAAGAAGACATGCAGCAACTAAACTTAGAGGATGATGGAGAGGTCTATCTTTAGTTTCAAAAACAAAATTATTGTACAAATTGAATGGAAAATAAAGTGGAAAACATAGAAAGATTTGATCATGCTCCAAGTCCATACTTATGAAAAGAAATAATTTTTAGCAAAAGCTGCCTGAATGTCTTCAAATGTTAGGTCTCATATTATTTTCCGTTTTACCTGGTAGATTCATTTAGAGCTCAGTTGCTAACCTGTATGTGGCTGGTTTGAATCTACCAGCAGCTCTCAACTCTCAAGGAGAAAGATAGGCAGTCTCATCTTGCATGTTTTACAGCCTCCAAAAATCCATTGAATGGTCAGCTATGAGTTGCCTCTGACTTAACAGCAGTGAGTTTTCTTTCTGACTGAGCAGACAGAAAATTTCAGAAATATCAAAAGATTCTCACCACTGGGCTGATTGGCAGCATTATGATAGATGTTGAAGAGATCGAGATTAACAACTTTAGTTTGCTTGACTCCACCAACACTCTCAGTACCAGCAGCCAGGATATCAAAAGACGAATTGCATTGGGAAAGTTGGCTGTCAGGCTGTACTCTCTAGAGTACAGAAGAGCAATTAAGTCAGTCTGGAGACTAAGGTGTGCCTGATCCAGGTCATAGTCTTCACAATTACTTGCTATGCATCAGAGAGCTGGACATAACTAGGGATGAAGAAAGAGAAATAATGCCTCTGAACTATGGCCCTGGAGAAGAGTATCAAATGTACCATGGACTGCCAGGAGAACAAATAGGTTTGTCTTAGAGAGGGTGAAACTGGGCTGCTCCTTAGAAAAAAGGATTCTGAGGCTCCATCTTACATACTCTGGGCATGTTGCCAGGAGGGACTAGTCCTTGGAGAGGGACATCATGCTTGGAAGTGTGAAGGGAGAGAGAAAGAGAGGAAGACTATCGGTGAGATGGATTGATTCAGTGACTGGGGTAATGAGGGTAGGTGTCATGGAGAAAGGAAGGTTAGCACAAGATAGAACAGGTTTCAGGATTATTGTACATAGGGTCATTATGAGTCGCAAGCGACTCAAAAGCACATAACAACAACGGGAGATCAAGAGGTATATGTAAACTTATTTTTTAAAACCTAGAATAACTGAGTACAAGAAAGCAGCATCTAATCCACAACATAAACAGTCTTCCCAGTATCCCGGAAAACCTACAACCAGGAGAAGATAACATAGATGAATGGGATCTTCTAAGACTCAAATCCCTATGCACATCCAAAAACTTCTCCAATAGGG